TTTTCGATAGGAGCCAAAATCTTTGAATCGAGGGTTACAGGTTTGTGAGAAGTTAAATTATATTTTAGAATTCTCTCTTGTTTCTGAAAGACTAGCATTGAATAAATACTATTGGCTTGATGTTTACAATGGGAAGATTTTTGAACTACTGAATTGGCAATTGTAAAAGAGTTTTTCACATTACTGCAAGGTGTTTTTGATGGTTAACTACATTTTCGTTCTAGACCAAGACTTTTGTTCAAGGGCAGTGAATTTGGATATGATTAGCGAGTTCCAGATGAAGCTAGAGGTTCATTTCAATTTTGGACATTGTTGACGTGTATCCCTATGACGGACCGAAGTAAGGCAAGCTCGCAATTTAACAAATTCTTGAAACGCGACTCGAAGGTTTTGATTAGATTAATTGAATAAAATTGGGGATCAATTTTACATTACATTTAAGTAAAAAGTCAGATGATCAGGAATTTTTGCCGTTTCAGGCCGTAATTTAGTGAACGATTAACGGATGAAGGCATGACAACATACAGAAAATCAAACTAATTAACTAAGCGATAATAAAGCACCACAAATAGCAGAAAAATCCCTCATGAAATGAATAGAACAAAACGTTTGTAAGCAAATGCATGAAATCAGACAAGCAAAGCACAATATACAAATATACAAAACATAAAACAGAACTTGAAAATTGCAAAAATGTACTTACTGAAACCCATGCAATCACAAAATGGCGGCAACACCATGTGCAAAAAGAAAGCAAAAATCTGTTTGGGCTTTATAATTAAGACAAAACACGCCGAATAAATACTAATTCAGAAGTCAAAAACCAAAATCAGCGTTATATTTACAAAATTTTCACAGGACTAGTTTCGATGGTTTTACCAAACCACCATCCTCAGCTGCAAAACCGCAAATGAACAAGATAGGAAATAATTATTAGATAAGATAAGAAAGCCTGGACAAGAATAAGCAAGTCGCGCATCTATGTAAAAATCAGAACTAAAACATAATTTCTTTAAAGGCCGAAGACAATTTGGATTGGATTAGGATCGTTAACTAGACAGAAAGATTTTTATGAACATGAAATGCCTCTAGAAAATCCAGTTCTACCAATGAAGATGTCCTAGTGGAGGGTGCATTAAGATGTCTAGAAACCAGACTCGCGAATTTCATTTCTCTTGCATCGAATTGATGAGCTAATTTCTCTCACTTAGAAACAAACACATTTTGTTTTCCAGAATAAATATTACAAGCAACTGGGATTGCCATTGGAAGCCCCTCCGTCCATCCTGCTGATATCTACATGAAGTATTAATCAAAATTGTTTGAAACATTAAACTTCCGGCATGGTTCCACTCGTAGACGTTACTTTTACCCTGTTTGAAGGTATAAAGATGATTTAAATATGTCTTTCATAATGATTCTATTGATCCTGGTATTCAGTTCACTTTTGAACTTGAGACTTAATTCTCTTTTGTTTCTCGACATTCTGGTCACAGTGTAATACATCCACTTCGTACTACGGTTCACCGTAAACTTCATCATTTTGCGTTCCACCCACTTTAATCATGCATCCGACTAAACAAAGTAGCTCATTTATTCCTATGTTTTCCATGCTCTTCAAGTTTGCTCCTCCAAACTATCCCTGATGAAGAATAAATAATTTAAAAGCATAGCTATTAACAGGGCTTTTCACCCAACATTTTAATCGAGCAGTTAAAAAATTCTCATCTCAACACACTAAAAGGCACACTCTTGTTTTAGGAGAATAAATTTCTGTTGTCATTCCTTCTTTCCATCAATTACTATAAAGTGCACATATTTTGCAGAAATTTAACTTTTGGGTTGTTTATTCTCCCATCAATAAAATTCCGAGTTCCTACTCAAGGACCCCATTCCGATATGAATTCCTGGGGTATTTATAGGATTCCTTGCCAGTGTGGTTAATTTACATTGGCCAACTAAGAGAGCCTGAAATTTCGCGTCAGGGAACAGAGCATATGTTAGAAAAAAGGAAACCAGGAAGTCTTCTGTGCTCAACTTGTTGGTCCGAAATCACACTTTCAATTTTTCTGCTGCCAAAATTATTCAAAAAACATCTTCCATTGAAGAACTGGATTTTCTAGAGGCATTTCACATTCATAAAAATTTTTCTGTTCTAATTCATAAAAATCTTCACTGGCAAGGATCCTAATTCCAATCCAAATTTAGAAAATTATGTTTAGAAGAAATTATGTTTTAGTTCTGGTTTTACCAGTAGATGGCGCCACTTGCTTATTCTTGTCCAGGCCTTCTTTCTTATCTAATCATTATTTCCTATCTTGTTCATTTGCGGTTTTGCAGCTGAGGATGGTGATTCGGTGAAACCATCTAAACTAGTCCTGTGAAAATTTTGTAAATATAACGCTGATTTTTGTTGTTTGACTTCTGAATTAGTGATGATCTATAATCCGGGATCGCCGAAGTCCCGACGAGTCCGGATTAACGACTTTTGACTGTAGTCCATCATACAGTAGAAATGCTGGTCAATCTGGGCTTATTACATGTAACATAATACAAGATTATAGAACTTTTTGCATACTGTGTAAAATCCGATAGAATGCTAATAAAAGATAAATAGTTGCATTCTTTTTCCTTCCTTGTACGAAGTCTAGGAGGTATTGTAATCATGAAAAATTCTGGGTACCGCATTTCGATGAAAATTAATGATGTTTTTGCGCAACATCTGTACATAAGAACAGAATAAAGGACTAATTTTCCTTAAATGTTATAAAATTGATTTAAAATGGATTAGAAAGAGATTTTATTCTTGGCATCATTGTACCTACATCGCATAACTTAAAAACGAGTAGCCTTAAAATGTTGAAATCATGTATATAAGACTGGTTTAACATGTAATTGTGCACCTCGCTTTCTGGTTGCAATTGGCACGTTAAAAGTTTATAAATATATATATAACCACTTTGTTACTCAGCTCGGTAAGCTGTTTTTTTTATTCGTATATGTTGTTAAATTGTGCATTTTTTACTTTAAAAATGATTGAAATATGTTGTTCTTATCTACAGTTTTTATGCCTTTAGTTAATCTGCATGTGATAGTTGTAGAATTATCAACAAATCAAAAGTTGTTTAAGTGCGGCTAAGCCTAATTTTTTTACAATGGCTGCCATATTTGTTTACATTTGGAACTTAGCAGAATAGTGAATTAAGTCTTTCGTCACCTTTAGTGTCTTTTTGCCAACTGGGAACAGAAAGGAAACTTTTAGTTTTGTGCACCGAAAAATCTGCCTTCTTGCATGCTAGCCGAATTGCTTGTTTTTGCATAGAAACTGTAATTTTAATTGTAAAAAATTTTTTCACTGTTTTCTTTTCTAATCCTTACAGATTAATGCACTCTCATATTTAAACTGATGTTTTATTTTTTAGGAAATGATTGAATTGGAGAAAAGTTATATCCAGTTACAATGTAGAATGCGAAGGGGAGTAAATAAGCAATTTGCAAGTCGATTATTTTTGAGAGCATCACCATTTTCATCAAAGAATCTCTTTCCTAAACCGAGCCCACCAGCTTCCCCTGGACCAAGCCCATAAATCCTATTTAAAATCAGTCTTCCATTGTGACTAAAAGATTTTTACATATCTTAAGAACCAAAGACATAATTTTATAACCGTCTTACTGCATAGAATTATGTTTTATGTGTATAAAGTATGCCATTTCCATATGGGATCCAACTAGGGAACAAAAATGTATTCTGATTAAAATTCAGAAAGCTTTATGGTGGTGAAAAAAATATTTTAATCTGTGTTTTATAGAAACCATCGCCCCTCTTTTACATCCATCACCTTTGCACTGTTACCATTGAATTATTTTTTAATATGCCGCCTTGCCTAAAACAGTCTAAATTCATACTTTTGCTTATATATTAGTTATATATTTTATTTTTTTATAAATACTGTCATATATGTTTGTGAAAGCTGTGTTTTATTTGAATGCCTGTTGAAATCTAAAGTGTATATAAGATGTGAATAAACAAAGTTCCTATTATTAAATTTCACGAAGAGAAAATACAGCTTTGTGCATAGAAAGAGAATTGGAGCACAATCTTTAGTGCTTAAAAGTTATATGAAAGTATATTTTAGTATAAAAAATAGTGATAATTTAGTAGTTAAAAAATAAGGAGTTGTTATGAATTATGTAAATTTTTGCTATTATTACTTGTCTACAATAATTTTTAGGCTGTGCATCTAATAAATCAATTACCTATTTAATGTTAAAAATGCTAATATAGGTTCTACTACAAAATCTTCTATATTGATTACCCAAATTTTTAATATTAAATTATTGAATTTGCCAATAATTTCAAAACCACTAATTTAATTTTATTTTGTAGCATTAAATACAGTGATTTGTGTTCATGTTTAAATTAATCATATAGTTATAACTTTCAACAGATTGCATATAAGGTATGTCACGATTTAAGTACAACCTAGAATAACAAAGTATTTTCAAGACAAAGTTAAAATTTAAATTTTGTACTGAAGAAGTCCATGTAAATAAATTTTTAAAGGAAAATTGTTATGACATGTTCATCCCTAGTCATAATAAAAGTATATTTTGAAAGACTCTTGTATATTTATTAATGCATACTTTTAAACAAATTCTCAATTTTAGTAATTGATGTTATGAATATTTAAAAAACTAATTTTATGCAACCAGCTATTATGTAATAAATATGAGATGTTTGAAACAAATTATAAAAATATTTTAATATTTGTTAACAAATATATGTATATATTTTAAATAGTCAATACATATATTTAAATATACATATATTTAAATAGTCAATCCTCAACATGTAGTAATAAATATACATAAGACAAAATTTATGAAGTCCAAAGATGGTCATTATTCTAGATTATAATATCAGTGCTGTGCAACACTTCAATTATAACTTATAATTAAATAGTACAATCAGAACAAGTGTCCTTTAAAAAATCAAATCATTATGGTTGTACATTATAAAATACTTTACTCATAGAATACATTTCTTAAGATCTAGAGTAGAATACACAGCCTTGGATGGACTGCATATGCAATTAATCTGCACAGAATAATACTGCTCTACATTCACACAAAATTAATATGAAAAATTATCCATATTAACCAAATACTGATATTTTTCTTGTGAAACTTTTTATATGCAAGGTATTCACTATTTTGTGCATTACATGCCATTAAAATTCAAAAAATTCTGTATGAAATTTTTGCATCTCATAGGAAGATTCAACATAATCAAGCACTCATTTTTTAATGTTTGATATTAAAAGAAATTATTAATAAATTGACATTTTTATTGCACATACATAAGATGCCATAAATTGTGATTTATGGATATAAAACTAATCAAAAGTAAAAAGCATGAAAACAGCTTTAACTTTTAAATTTGATTCTGATGCTACAACCGTACTCTTCTGTTTCACTGGCGCAGATCTCGTCAAGCATACTTTATTGGCGACAGCACAGAGTATACACATAAAAAATGTTAGTTCTAAGAATTTTTTTATTTTGAAGGCATTTTAATATCATTTAAAATTTTGTAAAAAGCCAATAAATAAAGACAATAAATTTGTAAAAAGACATTAATTTAAGAATTTACTATGCTTTCATGGTACAATATCCTGATTCACCGACTCATATCACGCAAGTCCAAGTGATCTCATCTCGCGTAAACTATGCTTCAAAAATCTAATTCTCTCAGTAATTATCTACATTAATGTCAAGTTAAATCTTAATTTAGAATGCAAGTATTACTGCAATTCTTATGGATAGCTTACTCAGAAATTATGTAAGACCGCAGTGCTTTACTTCGCTAGTGCATTCTCATTAGAATTGATGATTTTAACCCTTGACGTTGCTTTTTCTGTATTTCTGCCTTCGGGTGAGTGGTGTAAATTGCATCGTTATTGACCTAATTACCGCAAATAGCCTTAGGGCATAAAATTGAACTATCTGGTAAAAATTCTATGTAATTGTATGCCAGTATTGAAAGAAACAATCAATCGGAGAAAAAATGGCAGCGACTTGTTTTGAAAATGAAGTGTAAAAAAGGTTACCAGCCAGGATAATCCGTTTGGCATCTGTTGTACCATTTTTTTCGACTTTATCGCCTGCGCTGGCAAAACAGAAAAGTACTGTTACAACTTTACAGCAGAAAGGGCTGTTTGAGTTTTAAATATTTTTCTGTCATCTAATTTATAACAGTTTTTATTTATCCTAATTTAAGACATAAGATTTCAACTTTTTTACACAGTTATGCAATTTAAACGGAATAATTAGTAACCAACAATAGGCATGTACCTCAAGGTCAGGCTCATTTTACTGCTGATTAAGATATCCTACCTCAGTCAGAATTTGAAAATGCATTAATTTGATTAAAATGAGAAATTATAAATAAATACAACCTTTACATATTTTGTATTATCTTTACAGTTATTGTAAAAAATTAAGTAAGGACAGTAATATACTAAATGCATGCTTAGATTATCACCTAAATGTTAAAAATAACAACAAACAAAAAAAATTTTGTTAATTAAGCAAGAAATTTACTACAAAAGATTTATCATGTGCTACATGTCACTTCTACACTGTAATTTTTATAATTTTTTTTTAATTTAGAGGTGTACATTTCTTATTCTGTTATATGATAATTTTTAAGCAGTAAAAATTTTAAGATCTTTTTATAAAAGTAATAAAAATATTCACTCAATAAATATAGCATGTTGAATAAATAATCCAATATTCTACAAAATTTGTATAGTTTTACCACTACATAAAAAAACTCTGTATTGTTTGTTCTAAATTTCAATATAAAATCAACATGTCATAACAGCAAATATTAGAATAAATTATAAAATAATCTTGTTTTTTAAAATTCAGGTATTTTCTTCTATTTTACATGAATGAATTTAAGTACTAAATAATTTAACTCATACAAAGAAGCAGATTTTAAATATATACAGATAAAATACATCTTAAATAAAATTCCAGTACTCATGATTAATTTTAAAAAATTATTTCCATACCCAAGAATATAAATTATTTAATAATTTATATTCTTGGGTATGGAAATAACTAAGTAATCAATGAAAAATATAACTCTAATTAATACTATGTTCTCGGCTATGAAAATTAAGATAAAAAATGCAGTGTAAAATTTATAAAAGTATACAGAGTTTGCAAGAGGATTTTATTTTTAACAGAGTGTCTTTTTTTACTATCCACTTTGCCACATTTCAATTCCTTTATATGGTGCCTCTAGAAAACACAATTATTATACTTTTCCCACTAGCTTTTGGGATGAAGCACAGCGAAAACCAACATTCCCTGCAGATGTATCAGGTGTGTTCTGACTTCTGGCTGCACATCTATAGCGGTAGCAATAACTCTAAGGTGAGATAAAACAAAAATTGTAATAAAAAGAAAATTTTATTAATTAAAAAAAAAACACTCACTCAGAGAACATGACAGAAAAAAATTATTATTTACTAAAAATTTAGAATGAGAAGATATGTGTGATTTTAAAGTAATATTAACAATAGAAAAGGAACATTCATCAACAATATGAGAAAAAATATGCACTGAAATGTCAGAGTCCTAGCTAGAGTTTTCAGCGCTTGGGGACAACTGAAGATTTCCTGCCCCTTCCTGTTTGCTAATGGAAAATATTAAATTCTAAAATATCATAACATCAGTGAAGTGTCTGGTGTGCAAATATAGAAAAATAACACTTCTCTGACTCCAATGGAACCAATATTTTATTCCTTACGATGTTATAGATTCTTATTCATAAGATTTATTTACATTTTACATGCACGTAGCATCGCGTGACAAAAACTCGAAGTTTGTTCGCAGAGACTAGAAGGTGTTGCCATTCCGCTTTAACTAAATTTAATTAGAAACTTAACGGAACTGAAGCGACACTACACACCCCCTTCCTAGTCACAGCGATTATGGAAGATAGTCTTTAAAGTGACTGGGGAACTTCACATGTCTGCCGGTTCTAGTAGTCTTGGTTTTATGATGAGTTTCTAAATTTTCTTTAGTGTTCTTGAGTGCATGTGTTTCCCCAAGTTCCGCTTTCTTGGAATGGGAGTTTTGGAAAGGAATATCAGAATCTTGCATTAGGAAACATGGATTTAAGTCTGTCTATTGAAACTCTTTTAACTTTTCCTTGGATTTCAATATCGAAGTACTTATCCTTTCTTGCTCTCACAGGATACGGTCCAAGATAGACAGGCTGTAGCGACGAATTATTAATGTTGTTGTATAGGAATGCGTGAGAACAGTTGTAAAGATGTTTAGAAACAAAGACTGTTCTATTTCCATGGGTGGTGGTAGAACTTGGCTTCATAGCTCTTATTATTTTCTGAAGTTTTTGAGAAAATTCAGACTGTTTCATATGAGGTACTGTTGAAAACAATTCACGAGGTAATGCTAAAGAGGTTCCGTATACAAGTTCTGCTGATGAGCAACCTAGGTCTTCCTTGATGGCAGATCTTATGCCTAAAAGAACGAAAGGCAATGCTTCCAGCCATGATTTTGATTCGAGTAGATGACATTTGAGACTTGTTTTTAAAGTTCGGTGTTGTCTTTCGATCAGGCCATTTGCCTGTGGATGGTACGCAGTTGTAGTGTTTGTATGAAAACCAAGATATTTTCCTAAAGCTTGAAAAAGTTCGCTATCAAATTGCCGACCTTGGTCAGATGTTATGCGATTCGGAATTCCAAAGCGTGAAAAAACCAAGTATAAATCAAAGCTTTAGCAATAGATTCTGCTGATTGATCTTCTAACGGTACCGCTTCGATCCATCGTGTATAACGATCGATGATGGTTAGAAGATATTTGAATCCTTTGCACAAGGAGGTAGCGGACCCAACCAGATCTATGTTTAAATGCTGGAATCTGTGTGGAGGTACTTTGAATTTCTCCCAAAGATGACTGTGTATGTCTGTGAACTTTAGATCTTTGGCAAGATAAACATGCTCTAGTCCATAGTTGGCAGTCCCTTATTCATATTGGGCCATATGAAACGTCGTGTTATCAATTTTATCGTGGGATCTTATTCCAGGATGAGATAAATTATGGATTGATGAAAATATTTTCTGCCGAAACTGTTGCAGGGATGTATGGTCGATTATAATTTGTAGAAGTATCACAGTAAATTTTCTTGTCGCTGTCCGGTATAGGGATCTGTAGGATTTTTAAGTTTGGGTTGTTTTTTAGTGTCTCCAAGTCGTCATCTTCTTGACAGTCTACTATAGTTTGTAAGTCATTGCAGATGGTACAGAAATGGTGTCTATGCGAGAGAGAGCGTCAGCGACAGTATTTTCATGCCCTTGTATGAATCGGATATCGGTTGAGAACTGGCCTATATATGACAGTTGTCTAGCTTGTCGTGGCGAAGCTTTTTCCAAATTTTGTTGGAAGGCAAATGTTAGTGGTTTGTGATCCGTGTATATTGCAAAAGTTCGTCCTTCTAAGATGTATTTGAAATGTTTTACTGCTGTATAGATGGCTAAGAGTTCTCTGTTGTAGGCACTATATTTTTGTTGTGCTGATGTCAAATTTCAGGAAAAGAAACTTAAGGTTTGTTTTTCATTATTCACAATCTGATGTAAAACGGCTCCAATGGCAGTATCGGAAGCATCAGTTGTTAGCGATATTTCAGCCTTTTCGGATGGGTGAGTTAAGTTTGTGGCATGAATAAGTGCATCTTTTAAGATCTGGAAGGCGTTTCGTGTTTCTGCCGTCCAGGTTATTTCTTTTCTGCAGTTCTTTTTAATACCACTGAGCAATGTTGTTAAAGGTTGTTGCTGTTTCGCACAATTTGGTATGAATCTGTGATAAAAATTCACCATACCTAAAAATCGTCTTAAACTAGTAAATGACTTTGGTTCTGGGAAATTTTTGATGGCATCAACTTTCGTTGAGAGAGGTTTTAAGTCCTTCAGCTGACACTTCGTATCCCAGGAATGTAAGTTTTGTTTGACCAAATTTACACTTTGCCGCATTAATACACAGGCCATATTCGTTTAGTCTCTCAAGGACTGCTCGTAGATGTTTTTGGTGAGTTTCTTCACCTGGAGAGGCTATTAGAAAGTCATCCAAATAGCAAAACACGAATTCTAGTCCATTCAACACACTGTTCATGAAACGTTGGAACGTTTGGGCCGCATTTCGTAGGCCGAACGAACGTCATGAATGGGAACTCGAATAAGCCAAAGGGAGTGAGAAATGGCCGTTTTCGGTATATCTTCTTCGCGAACTGGAATTTGTTGGTACGCTCTAATGAGGTCCTATGGATGAGAAAACTCTTTTTCCAGCTAAAATGGAACTGCAATCTGTTAAAACTGGGAGAGGATATCTATCAGGAATCGTGACGTTGTTTAACGCTCGATAGTCTCCACAAGGTCTCCAATCACCTGATTTCTTCATAGCGAGATGTAGTGGGCTCGACCAGTTACTTTTGGATGGCCTGCATAAACCCATTTGGAGCATAAATTCAAACTCCTTTTTAGCCGCTTTGAGTTTCTCAGCTGACAGTCTCCTGGCTTTAGCGAAAACTGGTGGACCTCTGGTTTCGATATAATGTTCGATGTTATGATTTTTAACTTTTATTATTAACTACATTCAGTTTTAACAAATCCGGAAAATCGTTAATGATACGTTTATATGGATCATTTACGGCATTTAAAATCGGAATATTATTATTGTTATTTTGAAAACAAGGAGTTCCATTGGTTGTTAAGAATGTAGTACCATCAATCAACTTGCGATTTTTAGAATCTACCAAAAGGTTAAAATTTGCAAGAAAATCCATGCCTATTATCGGTTTGTTTACGTCTGCACAATTACAAAAGGCCATGTGAATGATCGTCTGAGTCCAAGATCAAGCTTGAGTAATTTTTGGCCATATGTTTTAATTTTCGTACCATTTGCAGCAAAGAGTTCTAATTTTTGAGATTTTTTTTTTTTAAATCTTGCAGGCAAGGGAGGAATGACAGAAATTTCTGCCCCAGTATCTATTAAAAATTGGGTAGCCGATTCTTTGTCGCTGATGAAAAGACGACTCAGCTGCACCCCTTGTCCCTCCGTCGTCAATGAGAGACGGGGAGCTGGTTTTCCGGACTATTTGTCTGTGATGTTGATGAGTAGTTGCAGGGTTGTTTACACTTAAATGACTTATCACCGAATTTTTTATGATAGTAACAAATATCACTAGATCTGTTACCACTGTAACTCCTATCTCGTGACTTGGATCGGTTACGACAATAGGGACGACGACTGTGGCGTTGCTTGTTTAAAGCAGAAACTTGTAAGCTAAGTTCACTAACCTGTTTTTGTAAACTTTCAATCACTTCCGTTTTTACTTTTTACCGTTATGGATGATGCAGCAGCTATTTGGGGAGTAACAGGGTTTAATTCCCAAATCTTATCGGCCATTGTAGCCACTTTTGACAAATCTTCACTACTAACAGATATAATGCTACGCATATTAACGGGTAAACGTTGTAGCCACAATGTTTTTAGGAAAGGTATCTGTTACTTTATCGCCCGCCAAATTACGCATCTCACACAGTAATTGAGATGGCTTTTTGTCACCCAGTTCTAACTTCACTCAGTAGTTTTTGGGTTTTTTGAGTCCTCTGAATCAGCATATAATGAAATTAGTCTATTTTTAATTGCCTCATATTTATTATCTTGTGGCGGACTTAGCAAAATATCAGATACCTGTGACAAAATATCGGGTTCAATGGAACTTTATAACATAATCATATTTTGTTTGATCTGCACTAATTTTTGCATTTCTAAATTGTGCTTCTAGTTGAATAAACCATATTTTAGGATCTGGCTTCCAAAAAGGAGGAACTTTAACGCTTACCTTGGCGACAGATGCAGTTGTTGCTTTAATTTCGGTTTCGTCTTCGTCAGCCATTGTAGAATTCGATCACGCCGGGATACACCAGTGAAGTGTCTGGTGTGCAAATATAGAAAAATATCACTTCTCTGACTCCAATGGAACCAATATTTTATTCCTTACGATGTTATAGATTCTTATTCATAAGATTTATTTACATTTTACATGCACGTAGCATTGCGTGACAAAAACTCGAAGTTTGTTTACTTCGTTCTTCGCGGAGACTAGAAGGTGTTGCCATTCCGCTTTAACTAAATTTAATTAGAAACTTAACGGAACTGAAGCGACACTACAATCAGTTTGGCTCCCCCCCCCATCTATGACCAATTCCCAGAATGTTGCTATTTATCAAAACATATCTTTTATTTATCTTGCAAATTTAATCAGTCCATCATTGATTAACAAACTGAATGAATTAGAAGTATTAACCCTTAGTCCTCCGCTACGGAGCTGTCCGTCATTTCTTCCGTAACTCTGTAGGCTCCGCTGCAAAGCCCAATGTTTTTAGCATGATTAGGCTTAAGATGTTACGGAATCGTCGGCATTGGCAACTGCTATCCGTAGTTAAAACGTGCTCAGTCTTGCTACTGTTACGATTGAAATATTATTTGACCCATTTTATGGTTAGCAACATGGAGAAAAATAATTATTGTGATGGGAATATAGAGTTGCGTGATAGTGAAGATGTGTTTGATTTTTCATTGTTAGAAGATATTGTGGAAGACAATGTTGATTATAATTCTGACACTTCAAGTAGTGGTTCAGAAATTTTACTACCAAAGCGACGACGAATGGTAGTTATTGAAAGTGAAAGCGAAGAGTCGCCGGAAGACTTAGATGAACGGCCCGATGTCACGGAAAAATTACATATTCCGGATAGAATACATTTTAGTGTATCGCCACAGGTCATTGGACCAGAAATTCCTACAAATATTGTACAGCCAGCACAATATTTCAAATTATTTTTCACAAACGAACTGGTAAATGAAGTTATAAAAGAAACCAACAATTACGCAGAAAATGTTTCTTTATTCTTACAATGAAAAATTGTAAGAATAAAGAAATATCTTAGGTAATTCTTATTTCAAAAACGTGGCGTGCGGTGGAAGAGGATGAGGTTTTGGGCTTTTATTGAGTTATTATCAATAAGGGTACGATACCCCTGGCGAATATGCAGGATTATCGGTCAATTGAGAAGAATAGTCACATCCCTTTCTTTGGTAAAATTTTTACAAGAAAGAGATTTATGCAGATATTCTGGATGCTGCATTTAAAAACATCGGATCCTGTGAAAATGTGCTGGAGTTGCTGGTAGGCAGTGGTACAAAAACATGCGGAGCGCTAAGGGTTAAATATACTTTTTAACAGTGTAAATCTTTAATAATGTTATAAGGTATTTTTCCCACTTCCCTAGCGTGCCTTCGTGGTGTAACGGTAGCACGCTGGGCCGGTATTCCAGAGGTCCGTGGTTCGATTCCCGGCGAAGGCGGTTGCATATTTTTCATCTTTTCTGCTTTCAATAAACCTAATGATTCTACAAGTGGCACCCGAACTAAAAGGGTTGTGGATGATGATTCTCCACACCCAGGACTTGGTGACTAGGTCCCCTAAAACCCTAGTCGCCCTTTAAAAAGGGGAGTATATAAGGTATTTCTCTCACTTCCCTAGCGTGCCTTCGTGGTGTAACGGTAGCATGCTGGGCCGGTATTCCAGAGGTCCGTGGTTCGATTCCCGGTGAAGGCGGTTGCATATTTTTCATCTTTTGTGCTTCCAATAAACCTAATGACTCTACAATGTATCTAATTTACATAAATTACATAATTAGTGATATATCAATTATTAATTTTTATGAATATTTACAACTTTGTTGTAATTATTGAAAGAAGTTTCTAATCTTAATTCTATATAACTTACACAGAATTATTTTAAAATTTTTATTATGTTTTAGATTAAACTCTTTTCTCTGAGGCTTTAGATTGTAACCTGAAGTTTTAAGATTTTAATTTTTTTTAATACTATATTACATTTGCAGTAAAATAAACTGGAACAAAACAAGTTTTAACGTATCAAAATTAGTATTCTTTATAAGAATTTTACTTACTTTGTGACACATAAATGATCCTCCTTTCTTCACTTTATCATTTCCAGACTCTGGACCAGTCTACAAAAAAAAAAAAAAAAAAAAAAAAAAAAAAAAAAAAAACTATACTATTATATATAAAAATTCTTTTTTTTTCCATCATAATTACATGTTTTTATATTTTATGTGATGAAAATTTCCAGTTTCCAGAAAATGTTCTTTTAAACTTATGTTTACTTACTCAGTGGCTAAATTATTATGATATTACATAAAGTAGCTATTTAGCATGGATTACTGATGTATTTATTATGCCTGAATTTAAACAAGTGGTTTTATATTAATAATATAATATACGGTATAAGACAAAATTTCAGAACAGTGCCTATAATTTTAAGTAGTTAGCAGCTGCTAAAAGAAAAGATCAGTTTTCTAAAAGTTCAGATAATAAATCAAATTGTGAACAACCTGAATCATGTACTAATGCAGATGGTCTCTCATTAATAAGCATATTGCACATATATGAATTACCGAAGCTGAAAGTCTGTCCATATGTTACTGTTATCTACTCGAAACAACAAAAAAGTTTGCAGAGTTTGCTTTTTTTTAAGTCAGGCGCTGAGAAATTGATAAGTGAGACAGATAACATCAGGATAATGATCTGCATACTTTTCTTTCTTGCAATGCTCAACTGAGTTATAAACAATGCCTCGAAGAATTCAAGCTAAATTATGACCATAAATTGGTTCAACAACATTAATTTGGGGGCCATTAAAGTCATTTCATCACTTGACATACATATTGTGTCTATAAAAGTCCTTAAGTTGGCCTCTATTTTCCCAATTTAGTGGCCATAATGTATTTCCAGGAACAAAAATATTTTAAATGATGTAGATATTCATGTTTTGGCACTTTTTTTAATTAATTAAGTTTTTTTGAAAAAAATTACATAATCTAGCATTTTATACAATATTCCTTCCCTTGCAGTTACATCTAGTAAGAGGTTATACCCATTCTAGAAAAACAAATACAAAAAGTTCAATTTCAGTATAACCAAGATATTTAAAAAATTTGAGATTTTCGTGGATTTTAAATCAAATTCATAGCTTTAATTGAGGGGTGGTTAGTTAAATATGCCAATAATATTCACATGTAGTTGATGAAGAAATAAATTTTAGAGTCATAATCTAATAGACGTAGGAAAAAAATTAAATTTAGCTGAAAATATTTTTCATTTTTAATTTACGCAAATAATGAGCTGGCTATACCAATACTACTTTTAAGAACATAAATTCTATATGAGTCTGTAAAAGAGACCTCATTTAAAAAAAATCTGAATTGACTAAAACTCTACTACACTCTTTATATCAGTGCTCATCACTTAACTGATTAACATTAATAATTTTTATAAGTTGATATTTTACTTTTAGTTAACATATAAATTTATATATTTTGCTCTTCAATTTGTGGATGAACGTTGAATTGAAAAGCATGTTCTAAAATTTAAAATATCTCAGTCAATTTTGTCAAACATTTTGTATTTTACTTGTTTAGAATGGATAGAAAATTTAAATTAAAGGGATCATATAGAAACTTATGTTTCTTAATTTAAAATGACAAAATATGAATATTTGCATCATGCAAAGCATTTTTGTAAGTAGAAATACATGCCTACAATCAATGGTTGGGAAAATAAAGACTGCATAAAATGTTTCTTGTACACAAAATTATGATATAATACACACACACATATATATAAGACAGAGGGCAAAATACTTTGGAAATTATACATAAGTTCTGTAACTTTTTGGTTTAATATATAAAAAAATGGTGACTTTATAAGAATCCACTAAGGAATAAATTTATACATGTACACTGTGGAAAAAAAAAAAAAAGGGGGACACAGTTCTAAATCTCCTGTTCTGCTACTGGGCTGATTGACGAAATTCAACCTGCGTTTTTCAATTCTCGAAAGCGTGACTTAGGATATATACATTCAAAAGTCGTTAATCCGGACTCGTCGGGACTTCGGCGGTTCCGGATTATAGATCATCAGTTTAAATCTCGTAAGATGGCATGCAGAAATTCTAAAATTAAAAATATGAAACCGTAATTTATGAAATAAAGAACAATTTTGATCTAAAGGGTATCAAAATTTACAAAAAAAAAAAAAAAAAAAAAAGCTTAATATTTATTTGTTTACTTTATTTCTTTCAATGTAAGTTGTTTAAGTTGCTTCGTTTTATGTGATAATACTTTCTCTTTAATTCTATAAACAGACATAATTTCTTGTTCAGTTACAAAGTTCCGCTGTTCAAGTCCGTAATTGCTGTGCCGAGAATACCGACTAACTTGTCAATCGAATTTTTTCGTTTTCACTAACCTCTCTGTCACCTTCTTCATATCTTTATCCATTTTTTTGCAGCAATTCCAACTTTTTGTTTTGATGGACATCGAAACATACTTTCGTTTTGTAGATCCTTTGGGAGCTCCAGCATCGGAAATTCTATTTGACATAATCGAAAGTTCAAGTTTACTTTTATAAAATTGCTCTTACAGTCTGCAAAAAATAATAAGACGAATCCAATTCGAAGATTAAGGAACAACGCAATCATCAACATTAACTGAAGTAGATAATTAGATAATTTTAGCTTATACCGTCCGTTATACATAAAACGCGCACGCGAAAAGGTGTTCTGCGCTTGCGCACACGCATGTACGCAGTCGTAAAGGTCTTATGCGCACGCGTAAACGCCTGTGCGCATGTGTCAACGCGGCGCATTTGTCAACGCGAAAGTTTTTAGCTTTGAGGTCCGGATTATAGATCATTCCGGATTATGGGTGTCCGAATTAATGACTTTTGACTATATTAAATTTATATATAGCATTGTTCTAATATAGATATTTTGACACAGAATTGGACTTTTTCTGAAATAACATGTCAATTTTTTTCATATTTTGATTCTACGACTCAAATTATACCAAACTGCCAAGCTTTGTAAAAATCGCATGAGTAGTTTTTAAAAAATTAGCTCTCAAAATTTTAGCTTCTCAATGTTAATTGAATTTGATATACGTATTAATATTTCTTTTTTTTATTAAACTTACTTGATTCCTTCTTCCAGAATTTGAAATTTAGTCTTAATCCAAACATAATTCGCACATTTTTTAAGATTTATTTTTAAAATTTGTATCTTTAAATATTTTTTATAAATTTTTTGAAAAAACTTTTGTATTTTAGCCTATAAAACTTTTAACATCGTCTTAAATTAGATGTATTTTTAGGCAAACCTGCAAAAAATTAAAGTTCTTTATTGAAAATTTTCTAAGATATAAATGAATTTACATACTGGAGCATTTTGAAATTTGGCATCGTCTCATTAAATGTGGTTTACGCCCTTTGTTAAAATTATTTGAAAGTATAAACGATGACTTTTTGCCCACTCGTCTACAATGAAAAAAAATAAAAAATAAAATAAAAATAAAATAAAAATAAAAATAAAAAATAAAAAAAAAGGAAAATAAGTTGCTATAAATTAAGAAGTTCGCCAAATAAATTATTCTCGGCGAAAACTGAAAAAAAACCCGCCAAGATAAATTTTTGAATTTCTCCATTAATTTCGCATCAAATTTTACAAAATTTAATATTTATGCATAATTTGAGTTCTAGAATCGAAATATGGAAAAAAAATTGGTATGTCATTTCAGAAAAAGTTCCGATTTTGTGTCAAAATACTTATGTTAGAATGACACTTTATATAAATCTAATATATATCCTAAGTTGTGCTTTCAAGGCATGAAAAACGCAATTTGATTTTCGTCAATTGGCCCAGTAGCACGAAAGATATAGAGCTGTCCCTCCCTTTTTTTTAGCAGAGTGTACATCACTTATACTTGAGTTTGAAATAATTAAGACTCAGTACTACAGATATGCGAGATGATTGATGAAGAATTAAAAGATATTATAAACATTTTAAAAAGAATTAAATTCTACATGAGACTACATTAAGTTCTAAGTAATGATTTGCTTGAAATGCTGAATTCGTACTAAAAAGTGAAAGATTACAATTCTAAACCAGAGTAAAGATTGAGAAAATTATTACAGGAACTTCTTGCTAATGGTACTTACAATTTCTTGCTCGTAGAATTCACAACTGCAGGGATTTTTTGAAGAAAGATATAAAATTTATTTTATAGAATCAAATCAGTACATTATCATTGAAAATCACCAATAAACAGTAATGTCAGATGGCTTGACTATTCTATTAAAAATTCAAAACAGAAATATAATTAACACCCTTCATTAAAGAAAAACATGCTACCCCCCCCCCCACACACACACACCCCAATAGCATGGAGGTAGGAAGTAGGGCTAAAGGGCTGGCTCATCAGCTCCTCGCCGCTGAAACCGGAAGAAGAGAGTGATGACGTAGATGGGTTCGCTTGCTGCTTTGAAAGAGTGTCTTATACCACCTTCGGTTTCATGAGTATTTGCTTGAAAATCAAAAGTTTTTGAAAAACTGTTCGGTAAATAATATGAGGAAGAGATTTTATCTAATGAAATTACAATGTGTATGGATATATAGCTGACCTAGTAATGTAGCTATGGTCGATTTAATTAAACTATAGTACGTGTAAAATATAAGCCTTAAACTAATATTTAAAGTCGAATATACATTAAATATGATTAATTTTTTTCTACAATATTTTTTGAAATGTATGTAAATAGTAACTTATCGATAAAAAACATTGACAAATTTCTATATTTACGAATAATTTTTTTGAGTTAAAATATCACAAGTTGGGTTATAGAAATATCAAATAAAATTATGCAAACGTATATTCAGAATACGTCCTTACAAAATCATCTGATTAAAAGCTAATGAATGCTAACACATATTTCATAATATATTCAATCCAAACAAATTTCACTTCATTTAATTTTGTCTTTCAACTAGCACTGGAAATGAGATAATTAGGTTTTTGTAAGTCTTGACAATGACTATTATGAAAGCATTATTATTGATCATAAGGATTACTATGCAGTGTCCATTACTCATAAATTAATAAAAATATTTTAAATTGACATTTATATACTATCTTATGAATAGTGTAGTCTTATATTTTAAAAGCATGTATTCTAATGCTAATTTATCTCTATGCAGAATTTCATGTTTTGTTTTGTATAGTTTCATAAATAACCAAAAACGCATAAAATAAATCACATAACACATTATGAATAATAAACCAAATAATAAAATCTTATTTTTAATACAATAAAATGAATTAGTTTACATGATTTATTTCCATTTACCTATTTTATGGTTAACTTTTCTTGCCTACACAAGGGATGCATTCCAATTTAAGTGTCAAACTCTTATGACTGTTCATAATCAGCAAAATAAACGAATCGTGTTCCTATTGAGGGACGAAAGACGTTTTTTAAGTTTAGAAATATGATTTTCAATTGCTCCCATACATTTTGAAGAATTTTTTTCAACCTTCGGGGAGGCTTTTCAAGGAAAATTGCTGATATCTACCAATCATTTTACGCATAATCATTTAATTACAATGCTTTTTGAAGTGCCATTTGGAAACAATTTAATTCGCTTTTGTTTCACTAATGCAGTTATTTGTATTTCGGTATACATGGTTAAAACATAAATTTTCATTTTCCATTTTCTCGATTAATTTTTAGGCCCGAAAGAGATGTTATTCTCGAATGGGATATTAGTTTCGATATGCCTTATCGAGACTAATATCTGCATGAATGTATACATGTTTCTCGAACTGTGAAAAAACAACTGTACATAGAGCCACCAAATTTTCAATAACATAATCCTCCACTTGAACATGGCCACCTGGAAGCTCGAATTCTGAATATCGTATTTGTTTTATTATCTATTTCATATTTTGTAAAAAGTTTAGTGAATTTTTAAATAACAAGCTCAACGATCACAAAGCAAGCAGTGGCAACACTGTACGGAAAAAACCATTTTTATCTCCAGCGCGCGAGACTGTCTGTCGGAAATTTTAAAGAATAATGTTTTTAAATATTTTGAGATTTTGATGTTGAATCGAATTTTATGTGTAGGAGACGCCAAGAAAGGGATGTTTGATAAATAAAGTAAACATCAAAACGTTAATAATAAAAAGGCTAAAAAAATTTGTAAAGCCAACTCAGTAAGAAAACTGAATATTGATATGATGAACTGATTAAATACTGGACCCCCCCCCTTTGCACTTAAACCATAAAATTCAATTCAACAGAAATATCGCAAAAGAATTTTAAAAATGAGCATCTCTTTAGAATTTCCGATTCAGATTCTCGCGCGCTGGAGATAATTTTCTTTGGGGGGGGTGGAAATGTTGCCACTGCTCGCATGGAAATCGTTGAGTTTGTTAATCAAAAATTCATTAAAGTGTTACAAAATATGAAATCGATAATAAACAAATTCCAAATTAGGGCTTACAGATGCCCATATTCGGTGGAGGATTACGTTATTCAAAATGTGATGTCTCTAGGTATTGTCATTTTATCACAATGTGAGAAACATACATACATTTATGCAAATTCTTCATTATTTAATTTCTTTAAATATAATGCAGGGCTCTAACATTTGCTGGCAATAATTTGAAAAGTGGTACCGCGTTTATAGTGATCAACGCAGAATGCCAAAACGAAATTAATAGCCCTTTGGGCTTAAAATAATAATAATAAAAAAATAAAACAGAAAAACGTATGCTTGCTATGCTGCCATTCTTTCGTCTCTACTGAAGGTTTCTGTACGGAAATTGTTGAATATCACGTTTGTTTTCTTTCGTATTATGGTACGCATTACTGCAGGTAGCAACGGCACAGGGGTCCATTTTTTTGAATAATTTCCCGTTACAAACACTAATTCATTTAAAAAATATCCTCAGCTATAATTTTCAGTTCAAAGAAACCTCTTTCAAAGAAATAAGAAGTAAAGATTTAAGCTTTCGCACTGTGAAGCTCTGGTCAGTAGACGAGGCGACGAACCCAGTGACGTCACACTGCTTCCCAACTGGGTTCGTGTCGGCATCGTTCCCCCTCAAACGGATGACCTAGCCCTTCTTTTTCTTTAGCCCTGGGTAGGAAGTAAGAAGGAGTCGCCCTAAACAAGTTTCTCCGTACCCTGCTCTGAAGCACCGGCGATCCCTACGTGGTGACCAAAACATTGGGTCATTTACCATTGAGTTCTATGGGATTTGACGCGTTCGGGTGTAAATATTTTGTAATTACGTCGCAAATATACATATAAATGTATATATTTTCTTTTTCTACAACACTTCAGAGTCCTAAGTATGTGAAAACAACATATTTTAAACAACATTTCATTCTGAACGGAATTAAATGCTATAATTTTCACAGGACAGTTTTCTCAGAATGGTTTAATTTGAATGAAATATTTTCACAAGTTTTCGTTAATTACATTAGAAAAAAAAATTACGGTAATTTGATTTTATTCGGTTAAGGTACAAAAATTAAGATCAAAGTTTATTGTATTATTAATATTAAAATTATGCGTTATTTCTTTTCTATTTATAGAGCTTCTTCCTAAAATACTTTCTTAAATATGACATGATTTTTTGGCTTCTTTTAAATCGCAAAATGTAAGTCAATTTATAATTAATGCTCTATTCGGTTCATTTTAAATTAGAGAATTATTAGGAATTAGCGAAATACTTTAAATAAGTATTTCGCTAATTCCTAATAATTAAATAGTATTAAATAGTATTTGACTTTCTCTGAACATTTCTGAAAGGGAATAAAAAACTTGTAACTGAGTTATTATAAAGTGTAAAGGGAATAATTCTTTTAATTATACTTATCAGATTTTTTTTTTTTTTTTACCCTTCATTTCAACAATACATATTCCAAAAATCTTTATTACGTTCTTAAGTGCGCATCTCATAGCATTTGCTTTACAATACCTTTTAACAGATTGCTTTCCAATACGAACAATTCTTGCTTAAATAGTTTTATAACGTATTTGTCAACAGGATTTCAATTTATGTTTACAATTCAATATTAAGGTTATTATATATTTAGATAACATTTATAATCATTATAAATTAGATACATTTAATCATTAGATTTCTTCACAGTACTTTCACAGTTGTTTATAAGTGAATAAATTCGTCATTTCAAATATATTTATAAATAATTTAATGAATATTTAAGTGTATTTTGTCAAAGGCAGATACATGCTTTTTGCAAGCACATGCATAAATACCCATACCATATTTCCTATTTATTATTTCCGGCATGTGCAAATCTTTAATTTCTGTGCATTCACTATATTTTTCGTGTAAAGTAATTTACACTAATTTTAGCATACACCCGAAAGTTTTACATAAAAATATATATGAATATAATTTGAATGAAAATTATAAGTATTATTTTTAATACCCACTCAAAGGTCAGTTTTTCTTCAAAATTCCTCCACGATGGCATCTCTCTCTTTAGGCAGATAGCCCTTGCATGCGTTACTCTATTTAATAAAAAACTTAATCTGACCTATGTGCCTAATTACAAATATTTTAACATACATAATTTTATATTTACATTTAGCCATCAAGTTCCAAACTTTTCAAATCTTCTAGAAAATAAATTTTGGCAGATCTCTTTTAGCAATTTTCTTAAAATCTATACTTTTGTAGTGCAACAGCTTATAATTTTATAAAACAAATTCATAATCAAAATCGCTGTTGTTAGTTATCGAAAAATAACCAAGATGTGATTTTTGCGTAAATGTCACTAAACTATACAAATTGCTATTATCCGTCCCACTATGAATGTTTCTTTCATGCGAAAAGTGCCCCTTTTTCGATTTCTATGGAACTGTCGTGTGTCGAAATACTATCAGAATCTTGTCAAGCGAGCATCTGAATGTAAACAAGGAACACCCCGTCTGGTGACCCAAGCTTCAAAGCAGTGCTTCACTTCTAGCGCGGAATGGCCCCTCCTCACTTTCCTACCTCCATGCCCAATAGCGGGTACTTCCCTATAATGGCATTGGCCACTCCTAAGGCCAGAAATGGTGTCCATTTTATTGTAGAGGCACCTAATAGGCAGCCACCGTTATCTCCTATAAAGATTTCCCTCCTAAAGACAATTTTACATCCATGCCTTCTCCAGAATTCGAACCCAGGCCCTTCGGTATCGCAGTCAGGCTTCCCTAACCATTATACCGTCTGGGCGCCCAAAAACATGATGTAAAATTCTGAAAACAAAAGCACTAAAATTATTCACTCACAATAATGCAAGAGCCAAGTTTAAAACCTTATGAACTTGATTCAACATACAGAACTTAATTTTAGATAATGATCTAAAAGACTGACTGGGAACCAATATATATTGTGACTGAGAAAGCATTAATAAATTCCATTCCTTGTGTGGAACTGATAAACAAGATATTTCTGATTATATACTGCTACATACATGTCATAAAATTCATAAAGAATATTCGTGGACCGGATACATAATTCTGTGGAATAGAAGATAATTTTCTAATAATTGGAAAAGTCAGCCCTTATTTTATGTTGCTATCTAATGCTAATTTATAGCATATCGATAACTGTACAAATCGGCTCATTGTTATTATTTTCTAATGCAAAATTATAGTGCATTTATGCCTGAAGTTATTGTGATTATTTTTTTGTGTGACATCTTGAGAAATTTATATTTCCTTACTTACACCTGTAAAATTTCAATATACGAAAAAATACTTTAATGCTTAAAGAAACTATTATATAATCTATGTAAAAAATAATTATTTTAAATACAACACTATTCTTCATATAGCTGCATCAAAAAAATTATGTCTAAGACATATTCTTCCAGCAACATACAGGATTATATTGATCTTCAGGAGAATGATGTATAGTCCACCAGTCATTTGTCCATTCCCAAACATTTCCCACAATATTTTTCAAGCCAAAACCAGTACTTGGAAATGATGTAACCTAAGAAAACAAATACAGGATTCAATAAGATGATTTATTTTTTAAATAAAATGTATAATGGTGATGTAAATACAATATATATATATATATATATATATGTAATAATAAAATTCCATAGTCAAGAATACACTTAAAATTCTAACTGTATGTTCTTTTCCTTTTTTAATGGCGACGGTCTCTTATTTGAAAGTACATGGAATTAAATCCACAGCCCCATAGTCAAGTTGTTTTTCCCGCCTTTTCTACACGTACAGTTAGAGAATATTCTGGAAATATTTAAAGTGAACTGGATTGCATGACGAGGCTGACGTCATTTCTTGGAAGCTCCGCCTTTCCAGAGGCTATAAAAGGACTCGCAAAGGAATATCGGGGTCTTTTCTTTAATGTAACGATGCAGTAAACTTCATACAAAAAGTTAGTAGTAGTTCTTTTTTATTTTACTCCGCAGATCAGATTTTTGTAACTGCTATTTCTCCTGAATAATAATAAATGGATCCTGTTTTTTAAACTTATCGTCTGATCATTTGAGCTTCAACTACATCTATGATTCTTTACCAATCTATTTATTCCGGACAAAAGCTGGTACAACACACACACACACACACACACACACATATATATATATATATATTTAAACAAATTAAATTTAAATTTTAACAAACACGTATAAAAGTAAAAAAGCAAATTTAAAGCCAAAATTAAAAAAAGCAAATTTAAAGCCAAAAAAAAAATTTTTTTTTAATATTTAAAAAATGTGTAAACATATAAAAGATTTAATTCTCGAACTAATCTACAATATCATTTAAATTCAGAAGCATAAGCAAATCAAGTGCAAAACTAATCCATGAAAATAAATTCACTAATTTAGCAAATTAAAATTAAACCAAACAATTTTTTTTTTTAAATGCATAAGTGAATGACTGTTGAGCGACAGGAGACAGACTTATCAAGGGGAAGATGCCTCCAAACCTAACTCTCCAATCATTCAATTCGTGTTTCGTCATTCGTGCAGGCAAGGGTAAACCAAAAGTAAAAAGTCAAAACCAAAAGTAAAAAGTAAAGAATGTCCAAAAAGAAATACCAATAAAGTGGTATCCTTAGAAATTAGCATTTAAGAATTAAAGTTTTAAAAAGAAAATACTAATGAAGTCTTTTGAGAAACAAGCAAGTAAAGTCAAGTATTAAAATTAAACTTTTTTTAAAAAAACTAAATTTTTTAAAAAATTAATTTTTTATAAAAAAAATAATCTACAAACTAATGTATTTTAACAACCCTTGTCTACAGAAACCTCCCCGACACGAATATGCATATCAATAAAAAGAAACTAAAAAAGAACTAGACATAATTCATATAAACCAATAAGAAACATAAAGAACTAATTCACAATTTTTAAAAAACAAATCTATACTTAAAAATATAATTTCATATCTAGAAAATACTTAAATACTACATAAAAAACTTTTTAAAAAATACTTAAAGCAAGTAAATAGTAAGTTTGAATTCTAACTTACCTACTAAATGAGCGTTGGGGTCTGCAAACGTGTTTTTAAAGAGAAGTAAGTGTGTTCTTTCAAATAATTATATAGATGGCGCTTATGTAGGTAAAGTTGAGTGCCAAGCTGCTATCTTTTTGTTATATTAAAAAATTTTTTCAAACATTAATATTAAAATATATAAAAATAAATCTAGAAAAAATTTAATTAAAAATTAAAAATCCTAAAGGTATGTAATTCAAGTTTTAATTTTAACGATAAATTATTTAGGGAGTTAAGCCAATCAAGAGAGGTAAGTTTGCTTGAAGTAAAATAGAGTTAAGTGGTATTGTGAATTAATGAATATAAACTGTTTGTAATGTGAAATGTGTGTTCTGTTGAAAAATTCTGTAAATATTGCAAGGCAAATAATTAAAGTAATTAAGTAAAAATGAAATGTTTAAAAATTTAAGTTTTAAAGCAAAATTTAAAATGTCAAAAAATTTCCCAAAATTTTGTGAAACAAAGTCCTTAAAAAAACCTCTAAAAAATTCCCAGTAATTTCCCAAAAATTCCTTAAAGAAGTTAAATTTAAAGAAAGAAAAAATTGAAAGTTTAATGAACTTGATTTTAACTAGTATATCAAAACTTAACTAAATACTGGCTAAAGTATGGAAAATTAGAAGAAGATTAAAATCTTCAGTCAATTCGGGCTATAATTGAGACTTTTGAAAAGAGTTGGCTCTTTATTAGTAAAAGGAAAGAATCCAGTATTGATTAAATATACATATTTACAAATTTATTTACAATAAAAATTTACAAATAATTTCTTTACTCTTCTTTATCCTTCATTACCCTCCAGCTAAGTTTTAAAGTAATGTTATCATATCAAAAAGAGCCAAAAAATTATAAAGTAAATGCCTGCCTTTTTAATATATAAATTAATACCACTTAACTTTATTTTACTCAAGCAAACTTACCTCTCTTGATTGGCTTAACTCCCTAAATAATTTATCGTTAAAATTAACACTTGAATTACATACCTTTAGGATTTTTAATTTTTAATTTAATTTTTTCCATATTTATTTTTACATATTTTAATATTAATGTTTGAAAAAAAATTTTTTAATATAACAAAGATAGTAGCTTGGCACTCAACTTTACCTACATAAGCGCCATCTATATAATTAATTTGAAGAACACACTTACTTCTCTTTAAAAACACTTTTGCAGACCCCCCACTCTCATTTAGTAGGTAAGTTAGAATTCAAACTTACTATTTACCTGCTTTAAGTATTTTTTAAAAAAATTTTATGTAGTATTTAAGTATTTTCTAGATATGAAATTATATTTTTAAGTATATATTTGTTTTTTAAGAATTGTGAATTAGTTCTTTGTTTCTTATTGGTTTATATCGATTATGTCTAGTTCTTTTTTAGTTTCTTTTTATTGATATGCATATTCGTGTCGGGGAGGTTTCTTTAGACAAGGGTTTCTAAAATACATAGTTTCTAGATTATTTTTTATAAAAAATTTTTTTAAAAAAAGCTTAATTTAATACTTGACTTTACTTGCTTGTTTCTCAAAAGACTTCATTAGTATTTTCTTTTTAAAACTTTAATTCTTAAATGCTAATTTCTAAGGGGGTACCACTTTATTGTATTCTTTCTTTTGGACATTCTTCACTTTTTACTTTTGGTTTTGACTTTTACCCTTGCCTGCATGAATGACGAAACACGAATTGAATGATTGGAGAGTTAGGTTTGGAAGCAACTTCCCCTTGATAAGTCTGTCTCCTGCTTGCTCAACAGTCATTCACTTACGCATTTTTTAAAAAAATTGTTTGGATTAATTTTAATTTGCTAAATTAGTGAATTTATTTTCATGGATTAGTTTTGCACTTCATTTGCTTATGCTTCTGAATTTAAAAGATATTGTAGATTAGTTCGAGAATTAAATCTTTTATATGTTTACACATTTTTTTAAATATTTTCTTAAATTTTTTTTTGGCTTTAAATTTGCTTTTTTACTTTTATACGCGTTTTTTAAAATTTAAATTTAATTTGTTTAATTTTAAATTTCATTCCTTGCAGCAATGGCGCAAAGAATTATTTAATTAAATTGTATTTAAATTAAATTTTTATTTAATTAAATTTATTTAATTAAATTCAATTTTTCTTATGAAACAATATATATATTAGTGGTACTTTCATAAGATATTTTAAAACTGTTGATTTCTCAGTTCGCACAGTCTTTGGCCTCCCCATGAAGTAATGCAATATGAAGAACCACAACAGTTCAGTTTTTCGCTTTCACTAATTTCTGCTCTTTTGTAGGGTTTTACTTACTCCGTTACATACAGAACACTGTCATCATTAACATCCTTCACTGCCACATGTCCGACACGATTATTGTAATGGCTGGCTTGAGTCTTAACTGCTTCTACTCCAGTATTTTTGTCAGCTCCATGACTGCTTTCAGCAACGTCTCTTTCCCAGCGATTCTTTACCAGTGGTATGCAAACAAACAAGGTATTTTTAACTTTTAAAAATTCAAAAATTAAATACCCCAACATGCTGTTTAAGTTTTTTCTCTAACACTCATAAATTTTATGCGATCTGAGCTTTGTTGAAGATCAATAGCCGCTCAAAGACTTTAATAATAAGCAAAATAATCCGCTTTTATTTTCACTATTCTTTCAGCTATAGACAAAAAAAAAATTTTTTTTTTTTCATAAATGATGTTTTAAAAGGAGTAATAGAATAATAATTGTAGTTAATAGGAAATAAAAATAGGTTCCTATAAAAAAAAGTATTATGTCATTAATTCTTTTAGAGTTGACCAATTTATAAGCAGGTCTACATTTTATGTTGCCACCATTTCTAGACTCCTATTGCTCTATTTTCAATTACTAGAATAATTTTTTTACTTCGTTTTGCTGTCTCTAATAGCAGGTATTTTGTCTTCTTGTTGCTTTGTATTCTTTACTTTTATACCCGATTTGAGAATATCGTCGTTTGTTTTTGAAGAACTCGTAATATATTGTGCATTTAAATATTTGTGAAAAAATGATAAACAAACCTAGATTTTCAAAATTGAAAAATGGCTAGGATTGACTCAGCGGAAAAGTGGTGATTCACAGGTGATCGATCCAGGACAATCTACTAACACTTGAGAATATCAAAAAGAAAAGAAAAATACTTTATAGAAAATACAAAGAATGTTATTTATAATTTCGGTTTACTTGGAATGGAGATGAAATGGACCCCACAACCTGTGTTATTTGGGATGAACTATTATCCAATCAAAGTATGAAAAAGACATCTTGAATCTAAGCATGCCAATTTAAAGGATAAATCTGAAGAATATTTTAAGATGAAATTACTGGAGTTCAAAAATAACAGACAAGTAATGAAAGATTTTGTTTAAAAGAAGTGAAAAAGATTTGGAAGTTAGTTACTCGGTAAGCCTAAGAATTGCTAAGACTGGGCAGGCTCACAATACTGTAGAAAACCTTATATCACCAG